ACTCATAGCAACCCTGTAGGACAGAGTAGAATGGCCTCATAGGGTTTCCAAGGAGCAGCTGGTGGATTCGAACGGCCGACCTTTTGGTTAGCAGCTGTAGCTCTTAACCACAGTCCCACCAGAGGATAAAGTATAAACTTCTTAAAATGGCTGACTTGATTTTAAATGACTAAAACCAAAAACCAAACCAGTTGCTGCTGAGTCAATTTCGACTTACGGCAACGCCCATATGTGTCAGAGTAGAACTGTGTGCTCCGTAGGGTTTTCAGGGGCCAATCTTTCAGAAGTAAACGCCAGGCCTTTCTTCCAAGGTGTCTCTGGGTGGACTAAGCCTCCAATCTTTTGGTTAGCAGCCCAGCACCACATTAACCATTTGTACCACTCAAGGACTCCTCTTAAATGACAATCACATCCAAATCCTTACCATTTACTGAACACTCCCACATTTCTGCATATGCTTGGAATGCCCTTTTCCCACAGATGAATTAAATCAGAATATCTGGAGATGGGGTCCTGGCATAAGTGTATTTAAAAGCAACCCAAGTGATTCTAATGTATAGCCAAGGGATCGAGAATCACTGTTATAAGGAAATTTAAACCCTCCATTTTATTATGTCACAAGGAGCTTGATCCTTTTGTCTGCAATTGTCTGAAAAAAGTATTCAGACATCTTACTCTGACAATTTGTAAACAACACAGAGTAAGACAAACAGGGCCCTTCAACTACTAAAAGGGATATTAATACAAGTGGATTTAGCACAACAGATTAGACAAAAATCAAGACAGAAGGATTCGTTAAAAATGTTTTTGATAACTGGGGAAGTTCAATTAACATGTTAAACGTGCCAATGACCAGGCTATTTCTATTTTTCAAATCCTAGATTTTGCAGTCTGTGAAATGGGGAAACGCTTTCTAATGCACTAACCAAAAAACCTGTTGCCGTCAAGTCAATTCCGACTCATAGCGACACTACAGGACACAGAAGAACTGCCCCATAGGGCTTCCAAGGAGTGGCTGGTGGATTTGAACTGCTGACGACCTTTAGGTTAGCAGCCAAACGCTTACCCACTGTGCCACCAGGGCTCCCTCTATTGCCTAGAGCCCAATAATTCCAAAAGAGCCACAATGAAAAAATTGTCAACCTTGAAAATGAAAGTCACAAATGTGTCATTTAAAAAAAAAAAAACCTAAGTAAAGATTACTTAAACTGAATTTTAAGGTTGTATAAATGTTAGCAGAGCATACCTTTTCATGCTTTCCAGAGGATATCCCTGGAAAACCAAGACTGTCAGAGGAAATCTGGAATTCCAGTATATAACCTGGACAACCCAGACCTCCATCTATATTTTCTATTTGGCTACTTACAGCTTCACAGAAAAACTATATAAAATAAGCTGCAAAATCAAATATTAGAATATTCTGTGTGCTATTCAAAAATACTACTATAGGTCTACTTCCTTTATTCAAAACTCTTTAGGACAAGTTCATCCTCCTAGTTCAATGAGTAGCACCTGGTGTCTTAAAAGCTTGCGAGTTGGCCACCCAACATACAACAATTGGTCTCTACTCACCTGAATCAGTAAAAGAAGAAGGAGACCCAGGAATTGAATAAAGAAATGGATTGCAGGTCTAAATGCCTTGGTGAGCTACTATCTCCTTTGCCATGAGAATATAAGAAATGGATGGCACCCAGTTACCATTAACTAAATGTTTCTATCAAGGATCCTATAAATAGATTCTGATAGAATGGAGGGAAAATGAGGAACAGAACATCAAATTCTTATGGAAATCACACTTACTGGATCCACTGAGACTGGGGAAACCCCAAATTTACTGTCCTGAAATAATGTGTAAATCTTGAACCAAACCTATTTCACGAAGTCATCTTTAAACCCAACAACAGTTTGGCTCAATTAATAAAGACTGTCAGCCTTTAACATTGCACCTTCCAAGAATTGCCTGTATGCGATCAAATTGACAACAGTAACTCTAAAGCACAAAAGAAAGCTTTAAGGGGCACAGAGACTGAAAGTTAATGGTGGTGAAACAATGAGTAAAGATAGTGAGAATGCTGACACAATGTGAAGAATGTAACCAATGGCACTGATCTGTACATGTATAAACTGTTGGATGGGTGTATGTTTTCTTGTGTATATTTTCACTAAAAATAAAAAAATAAAATATCCTTTAGGACAGATTTGTTTCAGAATTTTTCAGATTTTAGAAAAACAGTACTATGTTTATACTCTAACATGCTCTGCAAGGTCTAAAACAGCACCAATAATCAAACATATTAATATTCCAAAAGCAAAAGGTATGACTATTTTCTAAGTGAGATAAAGATTATAAGCAGCCTTATGTCAATAAAACCAAAGAAAACCAAACCCGTTGCCATCAAGTGGATTCCGACTCATAGCGACACAACTCAACAAATTATTTTGCTGCAAACATCTGAAAAACTTTCGAGAGCTTTAAGTGAACCTGTAATTCAAGATTTCTCTTTGACAATTCAATATATTGCAATTGAACTGTGGAAAAGAAATCACTACTATGAAAATATCCTTTAATACCACTGCAATTCTAAAGAAACAACTCAAGCTATTACGGTTGTTGTTGTTATCGTGTGCAATCAAGTCAATTCTGACTCATAGCAACCTCATGTGACACCGGAGAACTCCCCCTATATGGTCTTCTATGCTGCACTCTTTACAGGAGCAGATCACCAGGTGTTTCTCCCATGGAGCCGCTGTATGGGTTCGAACCGCCAACCTTTCAGTTAGCAGCCGAGTGCTTAACTGTTGTGCCACCAGGGCTCCATAGTTATTATCGCAGACCTACAAAAAAAAGTCCAAGTGGTGCTCATCAATTGTCATAATGATTAGAATAGCAGTTAAGTGTCCACTTTAATTTTCATAATGCAATTTTGGGCAAGATCAAACAAAATACATCAACATGAGCACACTTACTAAGTGCTAAGGTACTAGGCAAGTCTAAAGCAGAGAGCAGAATGGAAAGAAGAGGCAAATCAACACCCACAGTTCACCTAACCTACCTAGCAGTATAGAAACAACAGAGGGCTTTGAAGCTATGCAGCACATCAATGTTCTAATCCAGGCGTCACTACACAGGAAAGTTACTTAAACTCTCTAAAGCTTCAGTTCTTTGTCTATAAAATGAAAATAATAATAGTACCTACCTTGTTGTATTTTTAAGATTAAATAAAATAACATTTAAAGTTCATGACTTACAAATGGTCAATATTAATTCCCTCCTCATGATCAACTACCACTTTTCCTAATACAACCTATGGGTTTGAAGCGGCTTGAGTATAGTTCGCCTACGATAACAGTTATCAGGCAAATTTTATAACAATACAAAACCCACTATGAAAATATTACTTGCAAATTTCAAAAACCCAGTGTAGATTAAAATGATGACTAATTTCTGAAATCAAGGCAGCTTCTCCAAACATTCTAACCTAACCTACCTTCTCTGTTAATACTCTTTCTACACAACCAACTGCATACACAAATGGATGATAACTGAAAATAAACTACTATACTGAAAAGTGTATCCTTTTAACTCTACAATAAAATCACCAGACAAATGGTCCAGGTTTTGCAGATAATAGAAACTATTATGGTAATAAGAATTCATCACTTATACACAACCATTGCCCAAAGAACCCAGATAATTTATATGCAATTTTAATAAACTATTCATTGAATAAGAAAACCATTAAGACAGATAACTTTGGGCAGATTTTTGCATCTAATGGATATTTAAACTTATTGTTAAATGTACAAAAAAGATGGAATCCTTTGTTACTACTGTCCTAAATTCCATTTACTTCAGTTCCATTATGTAACTCAAGAGTTTTACAAGGCACAGAATCAGTCTTAAAGCATACATAACAAGTTCTGAGCTGATTCAATGCTTCACTGTTAACAATTTCCCCAAAGTACAGTATATAACCTGGACAACAACTTAAGAGATAAGTTTAAGCAAATTCAGTTAGCACAGTTCTTAGTGGGAGAGAAAGCTTCCTACTCAAAACCTAGTAATCACTGTGTAACACTTTAGGCCCTTGCAGTTCCATCAGCTTTAAGAGTAACACCTGCCATATGTCCTAGTAAAGTGCAACAAATGGAATCCAAACATTACCCAAACATAAAATGCCTTAAAAGTAATCTTTATTATTCTGTGTTCTAATCCGATGTTGTTCAATGTGAAAAGATTTAGAAATAAAAGCAATTGGACCAGCTATCTCACAACTACCTACAAGAAAGAATTAAAAGAGCCTTAATCCTTCATACTTGCACTTTTTCCATCATAAACAGGAAACTCCAAAGGAGAGGAAATAAAGAAAATCCTATCTTTGCTAAAAGGAATAATGGCATAGCTTCCAATCCCCACAGTGTGAGTGAACAAACGAAAATGCAACGGGAGAGAGGGGCAAGGGGAGGTTGGTGAGCTCAGCGGGAGTCCTAAACCTGCCACCCAGCTCAGAGGGTACCCAAACATCTGTAACTACACCTGCGACAGGGAAACGGGGGCGTGGGGAAAGGGGGACCGTGGCTTGGTGGTTCAGCATTGTGCTTGCACGTTCGGCTTCTCCTTTGCCAACTCTTCTCTCATCTCCCAATTCCCATCCTCCCATCCCACCCCGCTTCTTCCATAAAGAAAAATACCCAATAAGCCAGAGGCACAGAAGACAAAGAGATAGGAGGCTCCAGAACAATGGGGGAGAGGGTGCGAAGCGAAACTCCTGAGGAGGACAATGAAGGGGAGTGGAGAGGTGCCCGGGGAGGCAACGAAGGAAAGAAACACCACCAAGCCCGGGCCCCGCCAGCGGTGGATGCCTGGACACGAGGCCCGACCGCGCGGGCGGTGTCACCCCAGACGCGGCAGGAGGGGCTGGGCAGGGGCGGGAGCGGCGGGGCCCGGAGGAGCCGGCGGGGCCTGCGCGGGTCCGCGAGCGACCGTCGACGGGACTCACCGGCATTCTGGTCTCGGGGCCAGAGGTAGTATGTGGCCGGAATCACGATAAGCCCCACGAAGGAGGTGAGGAAATAGAAGAAGGTGTTCCCGCTGTCATCGTACTGGAACTGCTGCCCCGCCATGGCACCCCCTCCTCCTCCTCCCTCTTTTCACCGCCGCCGCCACGACCCCGCTCTGCGCTCTAGCTCCCAGCGCCCCAGACCTGTGTGGCGTAGCTCGGACGCTGCCGCCGCCTCTCTCCCCCGCCCCCACGCTACACTCACGGACACGCTGCCGACACCACCGCTGCAGTCCCCAGCTCTCGCGAGAGGAGATAGTTTTCCCCCCTGCTCGGCCTTTCCCCTCCCTCGTCTTTCCCCTATACTCTTGCTAAGGAAGACGTGGCGCGCGCAGCCGTGAAACTCCGCAAGGCCCCGCCTCCAGCCCGCCTGTAGTTCCGCCCCTAAGCCACAGCCCCGCCCCAGAGCCCTTGTAGGCCCGCCCATAGGGCCCCTCCTTTAACCTCCAGAACCCCTCCTCCTTCCTCCTTAGCTTCCTTTCCCAGATCTCGCAGCCAGGTCCTGCAGGTCCGCCTCTGGGGTCAGGAGGAAGCTTTCCGGCCTCGGGGTGGACTGAGGCGGTTCTCCTGTCTACGACTAGGGTCGGAGCTGTTCGGAGCCGACCTGAGACGTCCTTGCCTTCCCCTCTTTCCAGTCCCTACCCTACCCTGTCCTGCCCTCTAGCTTTTTAATTTCCTTGCTTGATAATATTGTTTCCATAAGTTTCGGATCCGCTCCTCCAGCCTCCGTATTGTGGAAACAAAGTGTCATTCAGGACAAGGCGGCTGAGGATTGGAGGAGGAAGATGGGTTTTTTTGTTGTTGTTTTGTTTGCAAAGCAATGTTTGCTAATGAAAGACTGCGGTCTACTCGGCGCCCTTTTTGCACGTGGAGATTCCCCGAAGCCCACAGAGATCGTGACCTAACCCATCTCAGAGCTAATAATGTTTATAGCCATCTGGTCACCCAGGCAGTAGGCTAAGACCTTTATTGCACTATATCATTTAATCGTCAGTAAACCCCATGGGATAAAGCAAAGCATGCCCGCCCTACAGATGAGGAACCTGAGGCTCAGAAAGATTGCCCACAGTCGCATATAGTAAGAGAAGGTCTGGGGATTCAAACCCAGATCACTCTGACGCCATAAAGCCGGTGCTCTTGACCACCACCTCGACGTGAACCTTAACGTTTCCCTGAGAGCGACTGGCCCTCTTCCTACAGTGTGGGAAGGAATTTGGCCCTTCGGGGGGAAAAACGGCAGGGGGAGATCACTTTCGGAGGTCTCTGCCCTCCCTGACTATGGGATCCCAGAGGCTTGTGTCAGCGGAATCTGGGAGCGGTCAGGGGTGGTACCCCTAGCCTTAGCCTCGGAATGACCCTACGGTATGATGGCGGCCGTGGCTGGGACCTGTCCCAGCATCTCCAGCACCCTCTGTGGGTTAGAAAGAATGCCTACCCCACCCATTTTGCAGGGTGATTGTGAAGATCAAAGGGAATACTGGTAACAATGCTTTTCAAAGAAAAACTATGTAATATGCAATTACTAAAAATTACATTATATTTTTAAAAACTAATTTTAAGACTATGAAACGCCCTTTAATAGTCTATTGCTGGAAGAGAAATCTGGTAGTGTACCTTCTTTTATTGCAAGTCGTCAAAACTAGTGTTTTTCATAATCAGTAATGCTTTCCTGATTATGTTCACATAATAGATTATGTTCACATATATTCTCTCTTCCCTTTCAAATTTCCTACATACATGGGAAAATTTTGAAAGGTAATTTCAGAAAATCATTTACTCTGCATTTTCCTCCTCACTTTCTTCTGTATAAGGTTTTCAAGAGCTATATTAGAAGAGAAAAACTAAAAGAGGGAAAGAGGATTGGACTATGAAGTCAACTCAGCTTTGTGATCATCTAACCCTGATATGCCCAGGATGAACAAATTTGCCTTGGTTCAGAAACAACTTAGTTATAAACTTGGCTCAACCGAAGTGGGTAGGATCCTGAAGTTCCTTTTTTTTTTTTATCAGTTGAATTTGTTATTAAATCTTCCTAGCTTTTAATGATGTTGAACTGGTTGTTTTTTATGACTCCAATTATCTTTTAATCAGCATTTGTGTAGAGATAATACATCAATTTTATAACCTGTAGCAATATAAATTATAAATAGTCCCCTTCAGACTTTTTTCCTTCAGGTGTAATCTTTCATTGCAGTTTGGGGTCATGCCTAAGAAGGCTTGAACCAAACTGAACCATGAAACTACATTTTGAACAAATTATACTAGTTTTCTAAACCCAAAACCAATCTAAAATATGAATTTATTTCACCAAAGCAGATTAAAGATTAGAAAATACGTCCACTATTCTCAAAGGTATAAATATGTTTCATTCTAGAACATAACACTACTGGACAAAGATAAACTCAGACCACCAAAATATTCTCCAAAGAAAATCTTAGTCATACCTTAATTAGTTTTTTCAAAATTGCTGACTCAGTGATTTTTTAAACTAACACGTTTCTTTCAAAACATGATTTTAATGAGATATTTAATGATAGTAAATGTGGTAGAACCAAAGCTACAAACACATATTTCTGTCCTTAGTCTAATAGCACATGTTAAAAGCCATTTTAGTATTGTCTCTTTATGTGTCTGTAAATGAATATTTAAATCAATTTCATTTTAATTGCTAGGTAGATCTTCCTTCTCTTCTTCCATGTAGAAAGCCTAACTCCTTATAGGTTCTTCTTAATAATTTCTTTTTCCTTAGAGTGAATTCTTCCTTCATTATAAATCATCTTAGCGCTACTGGTTGACTTACATTTATACATACCAAAGTACATTTGTATAGCCATAATGAACATTATTTAATTTTCTGCTTAATGGAGTTAGCTGCAAGCAGCCTGGAAGGAACCTAATTATTACGTAGGTACATGCAATTATTTCCTGTCTTCTTTCTCTTCCCCCACCTTACAATAGACCATAGCCTTTACTGCCAATGCCTATCAAATCATCTTTAATGTTAAACCCGTTATTACCTTGTTTCAGAGTCAGGATTTTCTTCCATTAAGAGTCTAAATGTCACCATAGTCTCAGGACACATCTAGCTCAATTGGCATAATATAGTTTATAAAGAAAATGTTGTTTTACATCCTACTTTGGTGAGTAGCATCTGGGGTCTTAAAAGCTTGTGAGTAGCCATCTAAGATACATCTATTTTCCCACACTGGCTGGAGCAAGGGAGAATGAAGAAAACTGAAGACACACGGGAAAGATTAGTCCAAAGGACTAATGGATCACATGAACCACAGTCTCCACCAGACTGAGTCTAGCACAGCTAGATGATGCCTGTCTACCACCACTGCCCGCTCTGACAGGGATCACAATAGAGGATCCAGGACAGAGCTGGAGAAATATGTAGAACAAAATTCAAACTCACCAGAAAAGACTCGACTTAACTATTCTGACAGAGACTAGAGAAACCCTGTGAGCATGGCTCCCTGGACACCCGTTTAACTCAGCACTGAAGTCGCTCCTGAAGTTCACCCTTCAGCCAAAGATTAGACAGACCTATAAAACAAACAATAACACACATAGTTTAACCATGTATGCGAGACTCAATGGGCACACCAGCCCAAAAGCAAAGATGAGAAGGCAGGAAAGGACAGGAAACCTGGACAAATGGAAATGGGGAAGCCAAGGTGGAGAAAGAGAGAGTGTTTACACATTGCGGGGTTGGCAATCAATGTCATAAAACAATATGTGTATTAATTGTTTAATGAGAAACTAATTTGCTCTGTAAACTTTCACCTAAAAAAAGTCTAAATGTCTTCTGATACAAATTAACCAATTCTTTTTTATTTGGACTTGGTAGACATGAAAAGTTGCCCCCAACCATTATGACAATAGTAACATCAATAAAGTAACATTTATACAACACTCACTTCAAAAAGCTTCCCCAACGTTTTTCTAGTTGTTCTTTCAAATTATGATACTACATGTTGAAACTTTGATGAGGCAAAAGGCAGTAGATCATTGCAATCTTTCATTCACTAAACTCCTAAGGTCCTTGAAAACCAAAATCAAACTGTTTATTGAGTGAATTCCAACTTATAGCAACCCTGCAGGATAGGGTAGAACTCCCCCATAGGGCTTCCAAGGAGTGGCTGGTGGATTTGAACTGCTGACCTGTTGGTTAGCAGCCAAGCTCTTAACCACTGTGCCACCAGGGCTCCCTTAAGGTCCTTAGGACCCAACAAAACCATAAGGTCACATCTACAGAGAACATAAAGGGGGATATGGGCTGGAAAGACAGTAGTACCTGATAATGCTCAACTCGGAAGCCATAAGAACAATTTTAGAAGGAGTTGAGGGCTGTTGTTTTCCTTTAGTATTGATAACAGGTTTGTATTTTGGCTCCTCTCTTGTCAAGAGCATGTTGGCCTTGTTAATACTGTTGTTGTTCTATCCTTTTGTGTTTAGAAAGCTGAGAATTTATTGTACTGAAGCTAGTTTTCACGGCTACATCAATAAACTCAGGTCACTCCTTTATGAATTAATTTTATGCATTACTAGCATACCAAAATTGCTTAATGAGAAAATAATGATTGACATTGCACATTAAGCCATAAAATAGCACTTAATGAAATTTCCAACCCACATCAAAATATAACTTGGGAGAGTGGCCATAAATAAACGGAAAGATTCACTATGGGCAATTTCAAAGGCGTATATTTGAGTAGGAAAAAAAAATACTCTCAGTAGAGATTAATTCTCAAGAAACACATAAATCATCTGGCTTAAAAGCAAGTATTTGTGAGTCCTGAAGCTTATAAAATTGGAGGGGGGGCCTCATTAAGAAAAAGAATATAAAATAATGATTATAAAATTAGGTACCAAAATTTAATGTTAACTTATAATGTATTGTAACTACTATAGGTTTGTATTCTATAAACTAAAGAATTCTGATAAATTCTATGTTGTATGATTTCCATAAGAAGAAAATGTTTTAAATATGGTACATTTATAATTGTATATACTACATATTGAATACTACATATTCCTACTGAGAAATTTTCCTTTTTG